ACATTGTCTAACACCACCAACAGTTCATTTCTAAAATTGAAATTTGCTAACGAAGGCATTGATGCTATCGGGTTAAGCCAAATATTACACCATAAGCAAGTCACGGCACACATCCCTCCTTACTTCAAAACTGTTACTTTTCCTAGGATTTCTTATATGTATCATTGCATCCAAAATATTTAATTACAGAAACGCATTATCTAACATCAATGCAAAAGAATTATATGATAACCCGCTACCCTGTTCTTGCTCTACGTCGTCCTTCATTTACCAACCAGCTGGACATGTAGTCACTGGTGATTTAAACATAGTCCAGAATAATTAGTTACGTGAGATTTTGTCTAAAGGACCCAAATACCGGGAACCGCAACCATTTTCATGGGATCAAAATTTCAAACTTATTATGGATGTCGTAGAGGACTACGCCAGATCATGGGCCAAGAGGGAAGATGTTATCTCTGATACTCTCTCAGATTGGACTAAGTCTATCAGTCGTTTACTTAAACGAAGAATTTATATGCAAGGTCTGTTAGTTGATACTAGGCCTAAATCTATTTTCAATGATGTTAGCATTGTTGAAAATCTCAACGCCTAACATGACAAGTATGTCATTGTACCGGCTGACAAAGCGTCCAATAACTTAGTGTTTATATGTAAACGATATTATTATGACTGCCTGTTCAAAGAACTTAATTTCGGGAAATCAATCGACAGTGCTTTTTATAAACGCTCTACGCTTAGTAAGGATGAAATTATATCCAATCACAGATCTGTACTCACTTCATTTGGTACTCCATGTGGAGATACCTATACAGATCTGCCCTTGTTATATTGGATACCTAAACTACATAAAAATCTCTACAAGCAACGTTTTATAGCAGGTTCATCCCGTTGTCCACAAAACCACTTTCAAAAGTATTAACATCTATACTAACGGCAGTTAAAGAGGGTATTCAAAAATACTGTGACAAAATATACTCTCGTAATGGTTTTAATCAAATGTGGATATTAAAAAATTCCAAAGAATTACTTAATGGTTTACAATCTAGATCACTTGTTTCAATCTCATCTATACAAACGTTTGACTTTTCTACTTTGTACACTAAAATTCCCCATAGTAAATTAAAAGCTTGGTTAAAAGACATTATTCACAGTGTCTTTTTATCTAAATCGGGAAATGTTAGATATCAATATTTAGTTGTTAATTACAATTCCACATATTTTGTTATCAACCATAGTGATTCCAAAAATAAATTCCCCGCCAACAAGATAATTCCGATGTTGGATTTTTTAATTGATAATATCTTTGTTGAATTTGGAGGGGAAATTTATCAGCAAGTGGTAGGTATCCCCATGGGCACCAACTGTGCACCTTTGCTTGCTGGTTTGTTTCTCTATTCCTACTAAGCCGATTACATACAGGCACTCGTAAAATCAAATAAACGATTAGTCAGACATTTTAATTTCACTTATCGATATATCGATGATGTTCTATAACTGAATAATCCAAAATTTAGTGATTATGTAGAATTCATATATCCTGATGAGCTCGAAATTAAAAACACTACTGACAGTCACAAACGCTTCCTACTTGGATCTGCATCTCGATTTTGACAATTGCCATAAACTTAGTGTTAAATTGTACGATAAACGTGATGACTTTGACTTTCCGATTGTTAACTTTACATTTATTAGTAGTAACATTCCAATATCACCAGCTTATGGAGTGTTTATGTCTCAACTAAATCGTTACGCGAGAGCTTGTTCATTGAATTCTGATTTTTTAAGTAGATCGAGGCATTTGTCATCTAAGCTTCAACTACAGGGATACTTGCGAACTAAACTTATTAAAACCTTTAAAAAGTTTTATGGGCGTCATATTGACTTGATTGGTAAATATAACATGTCTCTCTCGGATATTATTCTAGATATATTTAATTGACGTCTACTTGATGAGAGAATCATAGAAGAGGAGAATTTATTAATAACTGGTGCCAAGACCCCCATTGAATACCTCAACACTGTTATGAATTTTGTTGGACCGTGAATTGTCATGTTTCACAAACTGTTTATAAATATTTATACTATAAAAATTTATACTATAAAAATTTATTTATTTATTTAGTTAATATATGTATTTATTTAGTTAATATATGCATATATAATTATTTATTATATATTTGTACTTATATATCAAACTATAAAAATGTATTTACTTATTTATTTACTATGTTGAAGTGTCACAAACTTGTTACAGACTATACTTTAAATCCCCTTAAACCCCTTTGTTGGTTAATTAGTCATGGCCGGGTGGACCTAGACTCTAAACAATAGGTGTGGGGAAATACATACCGATAGTCCATTTTACCGAGATTTCGCCTAATAGTTTGGATGCAGCTATGGCGGGTGTGGCGCCAGGCAGGGTAAGCTTACTCTTCCGAACACCTGTTACCACTGTTTGTCGTGTATTTTGTACACGGTGAACAGTCCATATGCTGATTACACTATTTTGCCTATACCGTTTTTTTAGGACTTCGAATTTTGTCTAATGGTTTGGATTGTTCGTACTTGGTTTTATTTTATTGACACTTCTCGCGTATTTCGCCGAACATAACTGATTTGAGATTAGAGTAAAAACAGAAACGATTGAATATAAATCAGTTTATATACATTCATATTACTTTATTATATGCATTGCGACCCATTTGTGTCAATTTCTAGGTCCCGAATTTTAGCGATTTAGCTCTTTTAATTAATAAAACAGAAATATATATCCGTGAAATAACAAAATTGTTTATTTCATATTTTTACAGGGTGGAACACTACAAGATTTACCAGGGGGTGTGGAATGTGTTATTACAGGATGTTCAACTGGATACGTTTCTAAAAGTAACACTATAACTATATCAAATAAAACACCTGTACTGATGGGTAGCCTAGATAGCTATACAATAATATGTGAGGCCTCTTATCCTGATTGTGATATACCTACAACAACTGACCGAGTTAATAGTTCTTGCATAGGTATGGCTTGCAAATATTAACATACTCAATTGACAAATTAACTATGCCTAACATCAAATACATTATTGCCGATAAACAGGTCAGTATTTATTATTAAATGAAATGAAATAGTGTGTAACGCCGGAGAACCCCTTGAAATTTCTCGGTCAACGCATGGATCGAGGGGGGAACCGCAGGTTAGCGAGCCAAAGCGGCTACTTAATTTATTATAAACACTGTATCCAATTACACACCAGCCTGCCTAAAATTATTTTATGTATGCCCTTTTATGTGTCAGACTCTCTAAAACAGTCTTATTCCAGGTGACTGGCGCTTGGCGTCAGCGTGACTGCTCATCTTTTAACTGAATACATTAGTCGGATTGACGCAAAACTTCAATACATGGAAGATGGGCAAATCGTTATTCAAGATACGACAAAAATCTATATAAGGTAGAAGCGTATAATAATTACTGTGATATTATTCCAGCTCGACCAGTCGTACACATAGAGCCTTCAACCAGTCGATATAAAGTTATAGAAGGGGGACAACTTGTGTTGACTTGTCAAGTAAGCAATTCTGTTTTAGCCGTGCCATCCGATGTATATAAATGGAATAAAAATGGTGTACAGGTCACAGGTCAAAGTTCATCTATATATATAATAGAATCAGTAGAGAGATCAGATAGTGGAAGTTATACCTGTACAGGTATTAATAGTGCTGGATCAGGTGAATCATCTACACCTGTACAACTTGATGTTTTATGTAAGTATTTGTAACCGTCTATTTGTAACTTCTATGTATACTTACCACTTCCGTCCTACTGAATGTTTATCGGTTGGTGATCAATTGTCGTATAATTAGGAAGTTGGCTAATGTTCAATGTAATCTAATGCAATAATAGGATAATTTCTATCTTTGCTGATTGAAATGATAACTCTATAATCTAACCATAACCTCACTTTATAGCTTATCTTTATAGCTGTTTTCACGGTATATTTACATTATTTGTTTTAAGTCGGTCCCATGGTGACCATATCAGTTGATTCTGTAACTAAAACAGAGAATGCCGACCTTCTGTTGATCTGTACCGTTGAATCAAATCCACCACCATCAACGTTTAAATGGTATAAACCAGATGGTAGCAGTGTTGATGTATCTTCTATTGGACGTCTTGATATAACTAGAATTACCAGGAATCAGGGTGGTATATATAGATGTGGAGCTACCACTACACTAGTACCAACTATTGGTGATCCTATAACTAGATCTAATAGTACTACTATAAATATTACTGTACTGTGTAAGTATAGCTATATCTGATAGTACTACTATAATTATTACTGTACCGTGTAAGTATAGCTATATCTGATAGTAAAACTATAGATATTACTGTACTGTGTAAGTATAACTACAGGGGCGGATCCAGGAATTTTTGCACGAGGGGGTTTGCCAGGTCCCTGAGACAATGTATCCCCCCTCCCGCGTTGTCTCTATCGTCATTTTGGCGTATATACAAACACATTTTAAACAGAGGCATTCAACATCTCAGTTGACGTCATTTTTTATTATGAATTAATACAATGACATTGTGATTCAATTTCATGGATGCAAAGCATCAATTGTGATATCACATAATGTCTATATCATTATCTCGTGCTTTGAGTGCCCATCCTGTCCCACATCTGACGATAAGGGATAGAGCACACGGTCGAGAAACTTTTCTAATAAAAAGTTTTGATTTACAAAAAAAATTATGTAGCTGAGCAGGGGGGGGGGGGGTGCCCTCCCCCTCTGGATCCGCCCCTGAACTAGATCTGATAGTAAATCTATAAATATTACTGTATTGTGTAAGTATTACTATATCTTATTGTTGAATACTTGTTACTGTCAGTTGTCGAGTAACTGTTAAAGATTATAATCTGAAATTTTATTCGTCACAAATAATATTTTATGAGGTTTGATATTATTTACAGACCTCGATCCAGTAACTTTATTACCAACTGGAGATAAACTGACTGTAAATGAAGGAGATTCAACCAATATCACGTGTTCTACTAACAGTAACCCTGTAGCCTTAGTTACCTGGTATAATGGTACAATTCAGATATCATCTAAACATACCAACATCAATACCTTTACCATACAAGCTACATGTCTGGATACTGGTGACTATACTTGTCACGCTACCAATACCGAAATATCAAGTGTTCAATACAGCCAATCATTGACATTATTTATTAACTGTAAGTATATAAGTATTTATTACAGTTGGTGATAATATGATAAGTATAGTATAACTGATAGCCGATGTTATATTGTTATACAGGTTCACCTAGACCAGATACAAGAGTTATAACAACATCTATAGTTAGTGGTAATATAACAGATATAGTACAACTGGTAGCTGTTGTTATATATAACAGATATAGTACAACTGGTAGCTGTTGTTATATCTATAATATTGTTATATACAGGTTCACCTAGACAAGATACTAGAGTTATAAAAACATCTATAGTTAGTGGTGATATAAGAGATATAGTACAACTGGTAGCTGATGTTATATCCTATCCACCACCAACCTTCACCTGGTATTATAATAATATAACTACTGAAGATGTTAATGATAGTGTCATTAAACAGATTGATACCAATATATCTATCAATACTTATAGATCAACATTAAATATCAACATTACATCCAACATCTTCTATACATCATATACAGTCAATGTATCTAATAATATTGGTTATACAGAACTAGAATATCAAGTTGCAGGTCAATGTAAGTACATATATATAATATACTATATACTCAGTCTGACAATATTACAACTGAATTGCACATATTGCCTCTTGGTCATTGCAATTATTTGTATATGTACCTTCTAACATCAACTCATCAACAACACGTCATGACAGTATCTGTATTATATGGACACCAGGATTTAATGGTGGAGATCAACAGGAATTTATTGTTCAACATTCAGTAGATAATAAAACCTGGACTAGTTCTACACCTCTACCAGAATCTAAACCTGATTATTGTATAATGAATCTACAAGCTGATACACCATATTATATTAGAGTTATAGCTAGAAATAAATATGGTAATAGTCCACCAGTTTATCTGATATTATCTGGTGGTTCTGCTACAATACAAACTTTAAAGACAGGTAGGAAGACTAGATACAATGCAGATTATTTAGATAGGTTAAGTAGACTATGATTATTGCTGTGATTAAGATGTCTTTTCTATTTTGGCTATTAAAAAATAGATCAGACACCAAGATTAAGTAACAGACGGTGTTCTAAATGTTGTAATGATTATTGTAGCCCAAAATGGGAATTTCGTTGGATTCGCTTTTGGTTTAAAATGGTGTCAGTTGAGTATAACAGTCCTTTACATTTATTGGGCCGACTCACTTTAAATTAATATTTCCTTGGTACTACATGGTCCGCGCAGTGGCATACAATTCTACACCAGAAAACACCTTTCCTTTAAATATTCAAGAAAAACACGCAACTGGAACACACGCAAAAACAAATTTCATTTCCATGATTGTCTGCTTATCTGTAATAATGGTCAAATTCCAACTTATTCAATGAGTTAATAAAAATGTTACAACTCACTCGGGCGTTCTTTTGGTCAATCCCTGTTTAGAATGTAGCTGACTGCTATTGTTTATTTGATACCAGCAATAGCGGCCTATAATAATTTCAGCGGTATCAAATGAACGATACCAGTCCGATAAATTGTAAATTGGAGGTGTTTATATAGTAATTATTTTGCATGTGGAATATTCATTGCAGATGTACCTACACCACCTGGCACCAATGGAGGGTTAATAGCTGGAGTTGTTATAGCAGTGCTGGTAATTATTATCGTTGCTATTGTTGCTGTTATTCTGGTACGAAAAATGAGAAAGAAACATGAAGGTTTGTTTATATGAACGTTACTGATGTACAACTCACACATTAATTTTTTTTTTAAAAAAGTCCCTGGAAAACGTCTCCGTCTAAGGTACATCTCTTTCCGTAGATTTACCAAGTCTCGTGTGTTAGATTCAGTCTTTTTATTTTTGATTCATCAAATATAAATGAAATTAATGGACTGGTTTATGAACTTTACATGTAGTTTATGTTACGTTTTAGCCGAATCATCAACATATGCTGGTTTAGATCTAGAGACTAGAACAGCTACTGGTATAGATGATACAACATACCAAGGTCTACAACATTATGTTAATCTACGATCATCTTCTACAGTCAATAATAACCAGAACTACGACTCACTTCAACATATAGAACCAACTACAGTATATGATAGTTTGAATACAAATATGGGTGATGCGGTGATATCTGAAGGAATAACTAATACAAGCAGTAAGTACATAATGGGGAATATCTGTGCCATGTCCGTATGCATTCTTGCCGATACTTAATCACGACTCGGCACTGGAGTGTGTCCAGTTTGAGAGTAAATGCCTGCTGTTTGACAGCTCTATATAGGATTTATGTTTTGCATGTCAATTACATGTTGAGATACATTTCGAGCAACATGATCCGATTGGTTGCGTTTGGGTAATCCGTTCGTTGTGAGGTCGGAATGTTTTAGGCCACCCATTGTATTATTGGTATTAAATGATACCTAATGTGTTATGTCCTCGTTTGATCTATGGAGCACTAAGATTTCCATTTTCTGTGATTGGTCGAATTTTGGCTATTGATCTCGTCTCCAAAAAGATATTTAATTTTTATCAGCAATAGCTTTCAAAGTATTGTATTCAAATTTTGTTTACCTCGGCATTTATTACTTTGGTGTTTGCAAAATGCTGTTGTTGTTGTTTTTTTGTATTGTGCGTATATATCTGTGTATCTGTGATTTTATTTCAGATTTGTCGAATCCTTACGGAAATATTGATGCAAAAGAAACACCAACTTATGCTAATCTTAAAACTGGGAGGAATACACAATAATTACAACTGTAATGTGGGAGACAACTCTACATTCGTTAAAGTACAGGATGCAGACCGCCGCTAATTTCCCCATTGACTTCAATGTTAATTCTGGCCTCTTTGCCCGGCTCAAACTTTTCCCCTAATTAGACTAGATATTTCAAGTCCTAAAACCCTAATGTGTTGAGTCTGCATTTTTATACTATGTAGACTGTAAGTTACGTGACTATTATATTACTTTGGGTTATTGCTATTTTACTAACAATGCTGTAACAATGGCATCGATTTGGTTTTTTTTGGTATCTACGAAGATGGCACCGTCGGCAATATGAATAGCACATATAAATTTATTTACAATAGTAGTTTGTGCGCCGCGCTCATGACAGTTTTGTTAACGTTGGGGGTCTATGCTGTATCTATAACAGAGCCAGGGACGTATCTAGATCAGAGCAACGAGGGGGGGGGGGGAAGTGTTCTCAGGGGGTGCTGTAAAATTGACGGACAATGTATATCTATTGTTTTTATGGTCGACCATATTTTCCCCGGGGGGAGGGGGGGGGATGGCGGGGGCGAAACTTATAACGGACATATATTCCAAAGTAACATACACCAAAAACTATCTTTCCTATAAACCATGTCATTCACGTCATACCAAAAGTAATATACCACTCTATTTAGCTAGAAAATATGCACAATTTTGGTCATAGACGAAATCTCCGGATCGTGATTAGGTGATCTAATAAGAAAATTTATTGAAACAGCGTTACCCAATCGAGGAAAGGAAATTAGAAGTTAGGATAAACAAGGCTTTGATATTCAAACATCGAGGACTACTAAAATAAAGGATAATTCGAAAATATCATTGCCTTTGTCACTCATAACTCCCAACATCCCAACTTCTTTAAAACAATGCATCAGAGCAGGTTAATCCTGACATCAAATAACTATGGTGGGTTGTCGAATTCAAAATGCGATCTGGAGTAGAAAGTAGAAAATCAAAAGCAAAAGAGAAAATGTCTACTTTCAAAGACTTCCATGTCTGCCAGAAAGATTTTATCCTAAAAGGACATTTTCATGAGGGAAATATGTATCTCCGGTGCTCTTCAACTTAAAATGTCCACCTTTTCAACTTTTCAATATTCTACATTCAACAACATAATTTTTTCTCAAATAACTTTTCTCCATGCATAAAACGAAAATAAATATGATCACGTGACTTTTTCTGATTATCATTACAGTGCGGTCATTTTCAAGAGAAATAAACGACACCAGAAAAATACCGCATCCGCGTTCAAGGAAGAAACTAGGTTGTAAGATTTTAAAGCGCTAGTCCGAAATGCCCCATTTGTGAGTGTACTTTAAACCCCATTTCTCTCTCTTTTAAAGCGCATTTTAATCGTCAATATGACGCAAGGTGTCAAAATGCTACAATAGGTAAAATAATATTTTCATTTTTCTGAATTTAATCGAATAAAATACAATATATTAAAAACCAAATATTCTGGCAGGGAAGGAATTCTTTGAAAGTAGAAATTCTGCTGTTGAATGTAGAATATTGACGAGTTAAAGTTGAAAAGGTGGACGCTTTAAGTTGAAAAGCACAAGAGGTGCAGGTTTCCCTCATGAAAATATCCTTTTTGGATAAAAAAATGTATCTTTTCCTCTTAATTTTTCTTCTTTCTACTCCAGGTCGCATTTTGAACCCGTTACCCGGCCATAAACAACAACCTCCGAACAAATTACTAGCAAGAAAGTGAAATGTCCAAAACAAATCTATTCATTTTATCATCCACTCTCCTTCAACATAACGCAATCTTTCATCAATTACCAGTTATAGTCACATTATAAAAATATAAATAGCAGTACTTAGTCTAAATATTCATAATAAGTGATCTCCTATAACATAAATCGTCTAAGCTTGACAGGTTTAACATGTTTGGAATGTTTCGATATTTTGATATGATACATTATAATAAAAGGTATTCATTTAAATGCAAACAGAAAAAAGTGTACAAAGTAGATGAGAATATAAGAGCATTTCCAGTTGGTCGCGTTAGTCCGGCAGGAGGTCGACAAATCTGGAAATATAGTCCACCTTATGTTTTTGATGGATTATATATCTTCAGTATGTGTAGATTCTTAATCCGGATGGTGCCACTTCTGGGGAAATTTAAATATTCACGATGGCCGCCATGAGGCAGTTACTAGTTATTTAGTGGGGTAAAATATGTGACAGATTCTCTAGAACTTCGGTTTGAAGATGGTTTCTATAAGAATTCGGCCCGCTGAATCCAATGAGGTGTATAATTTAACTAAGGGTGCCAGGGTGGCATCATCCGAATTCTGAATCCATATTGAAGATATATAATCCTCCAAAAACATTAGGTGGACTATAATTCAACGTTAAGGCTTAAAATGTGGTTTGGCAATTCGCCTAAAGGCAAATGCTATAGCTCATACGATGTATCATCGATACAAGTTAATTGTGACCGGTTACGACAAAATGAGTCAGAATTACGCACGATCTAATAATGAGATAAAGACAAAATATGTGAAAATATTGATTTTGATCGAAATTGAGATTTTCAAAAAAATGAGTCTTAAAATATTCTATCTTTAGACCCAATAGATCAAAAAAGCAATAACATATTTTAAAACACCTTTATTTGGACGTTTTGTAAGAGTACCGTATTCTTATATCTGCCCTTTTCTGAATATTCTCAGTAAAATTAGATATTTTTCTTCGCAAGGTTCTTGGCTTCGATGTCACGCTTATAGTGCTAAGGAATTTAAAGTTTGCCTACCAACGTATACGTGTTTTCTTAGGGTTTCTTAAACAGTAAGGCAGTCGTTTTTGCCAGAGTACGAGAATACAGAGGAGTTACACAAACAAAAAAAAATCAATTATAGTTAATTTGATCATCCACTAGATCAAATTAAATTGAGACAAGACTATATATTTATTAATAACACCCAAATAAATAGTGGCAATGCCGACGTCACACTTTCGTGAAATTGGCACCAGCTAGCCATACGAATTAACTATGGAATTTTGAATTTAGCGCCAACATGGCCCCGAGAGTGGTCAAAAACCAATCAACAGCCGAAGCAAGTGCGATGCCCACAGATGACATCCGAACCGCACACGAAGGTAATACGAAGATGTGAATTTGTATAGTAGTTTATACACGATGGCTCTGTGAAGTTGTCCAGGACTGACTCAGGGAAATGTTTTAATCTCTCGAAATTGACACCAGATGGTTACACGATAAAGTAAATTCGGTTCTTATCCTAGATACATCGAGCCATTCGTGAGGGCATTTAAGCCATCGTATGACCCGTGAAGTTTTCCAGGCTCCGGCTGCAACTTCGTGAGCGCTGGCAAAATATTTTGCATGCCAAAATATTGCTGAAGGACCTTGCGAAGGCTCATTTTCGTGTTGAATTCGTGTGTCCATTTTGCCCTTCATAAGGCCATCGTGAGGGCATGGCGAAGGCTTTAATCATAAGCATACGGACAATCTGACTTTTCGGGCAGACGGGTAAAGTGAACACAAAACTTATTATTTTATCTAGTTGGCAAAATAAAGTGCTGGAAATCTCATCAACCGTTATTTTCTTTTAATTCAATACCACGAATTTGTGCTGAACTGATTATGGATTAAAACATATTGTGTGGAGTCACTCTAGTTACTTTATCCGTTACTGTCTCTTCCTATACAAATCTAATATGAATATAAGGCTTGTACAAATCTATGAATGGAATGTTACCGTAAACGGGAATTCTTGCCGTACTTCAATTAACGGGCAAAACTGTCAACGTTGATACCGCTAAAATTGATGTATTCAACAGTAACTGATAGAGGCAGAGTCGATAAAAATCCGTTACTGAAGTAAGTAGAGTCATTCTACTTTATGCGACATTTTTAGGGCATCGATTATTATTTGTGGATTCAGATTCAACAGTCCGATTGGATGGTTGGAATTCAGATCGGCATATAGTGGGATGCAAACCGATTGTATACTTTGAAGATGCTTAACCCATGGGCTAGAATAGCAAAAAACGCATTTGCGGCGGTGAAATTTTCAAAACATTCTTAGGGAGGGCGAGGCCCCCATAACCCGCGACGTTTGATTGGTTGTTTGGGTTTCAGGTCAGCCACCTAATGTGACACTACGGGGACAGGTGTGACAATACTGTTCATGGACTCCTGTGTCACTATCCTGTGTCGGGGTATATGGCTTCCACGTTCTGTATAAACCCTCAATATCAATTAACTTCGGAACACTGTATTGTTATAACTATGTTTATATATGAAATACAGGAAACTACAACATCTATGATAGTACAATATTAGTTATTATAATATTTACAGTCTGAGTTTAACAGGCCTAGAACGCTGACCTAACTGCTATATTACTATATCGGCCTCGTACGTACTTCTAAGAACCATGCATGATGTCTGATTATCCCTTAAGTCCTAAAGGTAGCAAGAGCCACATACTTCTTGATAGGTTTACATCATTTTCTCACAAGACCTGTAAGCCGAGGCGACTCACGGTATGTCTCACTATATATATTTTAGGAAGCCCACATGATGTCTGAATGAGGTCTGCAACCCGGCATCTCGGCACCGACATTGTTGGATTATAAAAATACATTTCAAGTTTCATCAACATCGACCTCTAGAGGGTCCACAACCTTGGTATTACATATTTTTACGAAATGAAATGAAATGGGGTTTAATGTCCTACTGTTCTGCTCCTAAACTGGGCTAATGAAGACGGGTACATAGTTTGCTCTCACGCTGGCCATATAAAGGACAAAATGAACACATGTTGAAAACACAATTTTTCGTACAATCAGGGGCCATAATCCATGATAAGATTATATTAGGGATTGGAACATGTCGAAAATTTACTATATTTGATCGTACCCTTGCACTTTTACTGGTAATAATTAACAGACCTAGAAACTGGGGAATATCCGGCAGAGGACGTTCTGTTGATTGTAATTTGGGTAAAGGACGAGATGGCTTATTTTATTCAGATTTAGACGATGATTTGAAAGGTTGTGGTAGCGGTCTGGCCGAGCTGTTTGTAGTGAGAGCGTGTGTTGTTTGGTTATGAATTACCCTGACGTATATTAGGACTTCTTATGCTGGGTGTGTATATTTCTATGGTTCTTATAGATTAAATCTCTGAATGGGTTTATTAAAGAATGAACATAGCAATATCAATATAAAAATATTGAAATCATAATTAAAACATCAATTCTAATTATCTATTAATGAACATTGAATATATAATATTAGCATATATTATGTGAGCAAGTGTAATTATAAGCTATTTCTGATTACAATATATATATATATTAATCAATAAATGAATTTAAAATATTATCATACAATGTGAATAAGTCTAGTAAAATTTTTCACATCATAATATTAAGCATAAAATAAACATATATATCTTATTATTAGGCGACACAAATCAACAACTCGCCTATAAGAAACATAAGTATTAATTATTTGACGTCTAACTGGGTTTATTAACGAATTAACATGAATTGTCCGTATTTCATCTGTTATAATTATACCCAGCAGTTATCGCCAACGTATTATCTTAACATTTATTAAACTATAAATATTTGAACATATAGATGATAATTCTAAACATATCATACAAAATGTGATATAAATAACTCAAAAGATAGGTACCTACTGAATCAATGACTAAGATGCTAAGTAATATTAATTTATTTTAAGTAATTTAGTCAATTTAGATAAGTAATTATATGCATACCAAAATACATACTATAACGGTAGTTTTCTTTTCTGGTGACTCAGGTGTTTGACCTACCTTTGGACCCCTGAAAAAAGAACACAAAACCCCTAAAACTAACAATTAAATAACTCAACACAATTAATGAAAGTTTCAAGTTGATTAAATTTTTAAAAAGTGTTACGGTCTGAATTATTTGCATAATCTATATTTTACGTTCCTCGATATAGTCGGCAGAACGAGTGGGAGCCCAGTTAGTTGCTCTAGGGCGTTGGCTAGGTTCATCTCAGTGTTGGCCGAGAACGTTTACTCGGATGTTCCAGCATGCTTTTCACTTGTCACGAAGAAGACGAGCTTGACAAGGACAGCGTATAGTAGTTTGGACAGGACGAAATACTGAGGTCCCGTGGCGTGCACGTAAAATAAATCTTGACAGACGGAATTCAGAATAAGATTTGGCCTTAGCGCTACAATTTCCCATATAGTACAATGTATGCTTGTCTTTATGATCTCAGTCGGCGCAGAAAAGTAGGACGCTAAACCCCCATTTTATTTCATTTATAATTAGCAATAAGACCGACTTTCAATTTCGAAATGACAATCACATCAGACCAAATTCATTATTTTGAACCGAATCAGGAAGAATCGGTTAATATAAGTAAGTACTGCATATTTAACTGAACTATGGGGGTCGGGTGGAGTTATGTGAGATGGCGTAGCTGTCTGGTCGCCTCTGGCTTGCGGTTATAGTTTCTATCTCTGGTATGGGCAAATTATCAACTTATCGTAGTTTACTCCGGGTACTCCAGTTTCCTCCCACAAGAAAGACCCCTGCGTATGCACCGAACAAACTAATTTAAGGCAATTTGTGCAATGCCATCTTCTGTCCGAACCAAAGAATACAGAAATAAGCCGGGTAACACACTCGAATATTTTAAGCCGTTATAGCTTATAGATTCTCGTGGTATGATATGGCAAAGAAATGCCTGGAAATCCTGGAGCTTTAGGAAATTGACTTTCTTAAGGGCGTGTGGCTATATTGTTTGGAACCTTGAAATATACAAAAATGGTTCTAAAAGCACATATTAATGTAATACGAATTTAAGTAAGTGAGTTATATTCAATTTTGAAAACAATAATGTAATTTCTAATCAGTTATGTTCGGTGAAATACGCAAACGGTTCAAATTGAACGTCAGTCGTTTACGCCAGCTTAGTGCATTCTGTATATTTTTTAAAATTATTATTTTGTCGTTTGTGAATAAGCCTTTACCAATTACGTTTACATTGTGTTGTAGGATACGTTTTTATTTGTTCATTACAAAATGGCACCCACAGGGTGCATGACTCGTGTGCTGATTATAAAATGTTAATTGTGTCTTAAATATTGGATATTAGGATCCTATAGTTTCACGGCAAGATAACGACATCAATATTGAATGAAATTTATTAATATTGAATTCTAAACAAAAAGCGATTTTTTCGTACAATCAAGGGCCATAATTCAAGAAGTAAGGCTGATGTCCCCCGCCGAAATCCCAAAATGGAAAGATGACACATATTATAATTAATTGCACATTTATTTTTTTTCAAAAGTATCGAGCAATCAAACTATACATTAAGTTTCATCACTCTCTATCAGATAGAATCAAGATTATCTTGTCCCAAAGCAATGGCCAATGAAATTGATTACCTCTGCTTAGCTTTAGCTCGAAATGTTCATCATTGAACTCAGTCAAGACATTCACATGAACATCTACATCGAGTTTAACCATTCTACCTCAATTAAAAGCAGAGTTGTTATGTTCCAAAGTTTTGACCAATCAAATTGCTTATCGCCCCTGAGCAGAAAATGCTCATTATCTAACTTAGTCAAGGTATTAATGTGATTAAAACTATACACCAAGTTTCACCACTCTCACTTAATTAGGACTAAAGTTATCGTGTCCCGAAGCACCTTATCTCTGCTTACTCTCAACAGAAAATGCTATCTTCGACCTCAATCAAGGTATTGACCTAATAAACACCTATACCAAGTTTGAACATTCTAGCTCAATTAGAAAGAGAGACGGGCAGACAAACGGACGAACCCGTCGAAAGGCGGGGGACACAAAATATTAGCTCAACCGTAATGCTGCACTACTTTGTGTTACGCTAAACGATAGAAATAAAGTTGTTTTAGGTATACGTACTCATTGCTCGTGTTTCTGTGAAGCAACACACTAAAAAAAATATATATGTCTATTAGCCATTTCTTTTAGATCCTTAATACGCAATGACAATTAAGATATTCTTAACATTGGCCCCGTGTTCATTAGCCCAACTGGGCAAATAAACGCTGCTGAATTCTAACATCACCAATAAATCCACTCCCTTTTTTAACACAGTGACTTTACACATATTAAAGGTCACCGGAAAAGCATCATTTTTTTTTAAATAATGCAAGCAATTATGTCAACACATCCTTTCCATAAGTATAACCCGAGCCCGAACGTCAATATTACCTGCAACAGGTAAATTTCAATATTAGTAATTTCCGCCGTTCTCCGTAGGTAGTCGGAACTTTCCGTCAAAAAGCAATCTGTGACGTCATTTTAGTCCTTCTGCACATCGAAATATAGACTAGAATATGAGCAGAAGGACTAAAATGACGTCACAGATTGTTTATGTACTTATGGAAAGGATATGTTGGCATTATTACTTGCATTATTTAAAAATATATATATAAACCTTTTCCGGTGACCTTTAAACTAATTCACATGGAATTAGATTACTTTGTGGGGTAACATATGCAGCCCCGTATATTGATATTAATTATAAACATTGAAATGTTAAGGAAAAATATTACCAATCTTATATAAATTAGTATTTAGATATTTGGTTTACATACAAAGCCAAACATGAACTCTCTGGACCATCGGATGCAATATATATGGAATGGATTAGATCATCCGCGCCGTATAATAATTTAACGTTATTATGGTCGTCACCCAATGAAAGGACTTACACTCGATATTTCGTCATTGGTACTTGACAATCGCTTATATCTTGGCAAATGTCTATACACTCTCAACTTCGCTCTGAATAGAGTAATTTGACTAAAATTCTTCTTTATCTATGTTAGAATTATTATAGCAGGAGCGGCCAGCTTTATATTTAAATCTTAAATAGGAAACATGAGCCCGGATCCAGGCAATTCTTTCCAGTTGCCCCCACAGCCCTCCGTAAATATATCAAATAAATATAAAGGTAAACCTGCCTACTGGTCTTTTGAACACGACAACAATAACTACAATGATAATCACAACGACAGCAATACAGCCCACAACAATTCCTGTTATTTCTCCCGCCGTGAGCGTTTCTTGTGCTAAAATATGAACATAATTTGCTTAAGATTAAAACTGACATCATATACTTAACTGGCATGTTGTCACTGGTTTTATCTACATTTTCAAAAAGTGTCTTACCCTTCCCCTTGCTGTATCCACTGATACATTAGGTAAGTTTGGGACAAACATATTCTGCAAATGGATCTCTTGCAGTGGACGAAAATCAGACAAATTGCCCAGGGTTATCACATGAAATTGTTGGATCGAAACAACGTGACTTTACTAAATGGTAGAACTTCGGTTCTAAAACGCATGCGATAGACAATTCGGCCACCAAAGCATCCACCCAGCCTGTTATCGCACCTTTAATGCCTCAGATATGGTTTATGTCAGCTAGGGTATTGTCAACAATATACAGTGCCCTCCAAACTACAATTAATATTAATACATGACATAAATGTATTTGAAACTAACTTCTAACAATGCTCGGATATCGGTTTGTTCGGAGTAAATTGGACGACAAACTATATAATAAAAAGGATCACATCTAAGACTCACAAAGGCTATCACAAAACGAGCATTCTTTGCTCTGCATAAATTTACTCGATCGATGAAAATGAAATGGGAGTTTTAAATTGCCTACTGTACTGCAGCCGACTAGGCTAATGAAGACGGCGCCCAATCAAGAACTACATATTGATAACAGGCGCACTTGGCTGTATTTGTAATAATTGTTTTCATTGTTTGAAAAAGCTTGGAAGAGTGTAGATTTTTGGGAATTGTTCCATCTGACTTTCTTTTGAACGACAGCCTGTTCTTCCGACATGGCATAATCGATCTTTGTTGGTACTGTAGGTTAATTCAATTACAATGGGTTGAGAAATAATCAGGATTTCAAATTTGATGGTCAGGTCATAGATTGTATTTGAAACGATCACAAATCAATTACCTTCTTTATCCATACCAATTCTACTATCGAGAATGCGAATATCAAAAGTGTGACACATTAAAAGCGATATGCCATATTTGTTTACGACGATGTCTTTGGACTTTCTGATAATATCAAATGTATTTACATCATAATTATCTTTACAGCATAAGTAAGCAACATAATCATCCAACATAAAATCTTGTTCTGAATCCCAAATTCCTTTCAGAATTGAGATCTCCAGCTATATCACTGAACGAATACTTTTATTTTATAGACAAATATATACATCCCTCGCCCTCCGTTAATCTCCCTTACCCCCGTGTTCTCTAACAAGTGAGAATGCTTCATGATTTGGTAGTAAGTTTGTGAATTCGGTAATAACATATGTACAAAATTTTCATAAACACGTCTTTAAGACCGTTAATATGTAATGAAATTAATGAAAAGGTATTAATAAATGATGTACTACTCGAGCCTTGGCCACACCCCTATTGTTCTATGATGAGCTCATCTGGTACACCTCTACCATCACAAGCCAGAATACTGTTTAGCTGTTCATTGTAAACAAAGGCTCGGTTAACAGATCAGTTTGTCATAGCTTCTCGTGAGGATTTCCCCCTACCATTTTCAGCAAAGATGCCCTCAGCTTTTTTCTACAATGTCCGACCCTTTCGCTATAATCCTCTTTAACATATACAACCTTTTTTTCTGTTTTCCTGTGTCCCTATGAGCGACCATTTTGTCGGTCAGTTTCGGTCCAATTTTCAAGAAATTCAAACTCACCCGTAACGGTGAACGATTGAAACGTGTTTTAAATCGGAAACAAGCTGTGACCGCCAGAGGTTCCACAAGCTAAAAACGTTTTATTTTATTTTTGGTAAAATCAGGGGTTATAATCAAGGAGGTTACGGTTCAATATGCGCGACTATCGCAAGAAACCGAGATCTTTGGAATATAAACATATTATATTTTATGTTTCATAAAAATCAGATAAAAATTGTGACCTCTTAAGGGTTTGCATACATGAAGCGGCCAATGTGTCTGGCAGTTTCTGTCCATTTTCTAACGAAATTCGAACTCAGCCATCATTGTGGTGTAGCGATGATACATTCAAACGCATGTTTTAATCGGATAAACATTATGGCCTCTAGGGGGTTCACAAGTAAAACATACCATATATTTGCGTACAATCAGGGGTCAAAATCGGAGAGAGTGCGTCGTTTAGACGGTCCACAACCTTGTTATTACATTTTTTTTACACTATTTGCATGGCCATTTTGTCTGACAGTTTCATTTCGATTTTTACGATGTAAAAGCTAAAATAAATCGCAATTGTTTGTACACTCAGGGGCCATAATCCACAAAGTTACGGTCCGATATGCGCAACTACCGAGATCTTTGGGATATAAACACATACCTGAAATAGATTGTTCCACAGTTATACAATTTGCTACCAGATGGCGCAATTAACTGAGGTTGGTTGAAAAAGTGACTTACATCGTTCTTCCCCGGGACTCTTCATATTTGACGTTTCATCAAAATCGAATAAAAATTGTGACTTCTAGAGGGTATCAGCCATAGTATTACATACTTTTACACTTTGTACGCACGTACAAGGAGTGGCCATTTTGTCGGACAGCTTTGGTCCTATTTTCAAGAAATTCGAACTCGGTCGCCATTATGGTGTAACGGTGTTATATTATTTCAATATTGTTCTTTTTTTTAAATCGGATACAAATTGTGACCTTCACAAGCTGAAAAGGCTATGATGTTTTCGTGCAATCAGGGGCCATAATCCAGGAAGTAACGATCCGATATGCGAAAATGTCGACAGAAACCGATATCTATGGGATATGATCATATATCAAGTTTCTTCAAAATCGGATACAAATTTTGACTGTAGACTGTCCATACACAAATTGTGGACGGACGGACTTCCGTACGTACAGGGGCGCCGACATATACGTCCACATCAAAATGTGGGCTTATAAAAACAATAATTATCTTTTCTTAATGTCTACATGAAAATATCCATATACCGTCACTTTTCCGCGGGTTGTAATATAAATGTAATAGATAATGCACTTACCGGTCACATTTATGAATTTATAGTCCTCGCCCGCCAATGTTTCACATTTCCATGTTCCATTATCCCTGTCTTTGGATACATTAGCTATATGAACAGTTACACTGTCACTAGTTTTACTAACTGTATAGTATCTATTGTAGTTGTATTTGGTAGTGGAGGTATTTGAATCAGGAGTAATATTACAGTATGCTGTAGATACATTACAAAGAGTTACCTGTACACCATCCTTAGTAATTATAGCAATTTCAGAAGTGGTACACGTTACATTTGCGGAACCACCGTCTATCAATGGATCGGGATATGTTGTAATTTCAACTGTTACACCTGTAATATATAACATAATAATTGCAAGCACGTATGAATTATACCTGTAATATATCAACTATTGTAGGGGGGGGGGGTTAACGCAAACTATATTATTTCGGGACTAGCATTTGATTCAATTTTATTTCAGTAATTCGCTTGCGCGTAAGGGTCTTCTGATAGTTGGTGCCGTGATAGAAAAAACTCTATTTCGAGGACTGCTAGTGAAGCTTGGAAGAATTTTTATACGCCCACATTTTCATGTTGACGTATATAATATCGTCGTCACCCCTGTCCGTCCGGACGCCTGCTCACATTTGTTTGTGGACACTCTACAGGTCACAATTTGTATCCGATTTTGACGAAACCTGAAATATGGGTAATTGATATCCCCAAGATCCCGTTTCCTTTCCATATTGGCATGTGTTGGACTGTAACTTCATGGAATATGGCCCGCCTCTACGAAAAATCACGTTTTTAGATTGTGGGTACTCTAGAGGTCACCTTTTGTATCCGATTTTGATGAAATTTAAAGTGTATGTTTATAAACCGAACATCTTAGAGCATTTCGATATTCTCGCATATCGTACTATAACTTCCTGGCTTATGGTACCTGATTGTACGAAAAGTCACGTTCTTAGCTTCAGTCCCTCTAAAGGCTACAATTTTTATCCGATTTTCACAACCGTTCAAAAATATCAACGTTACACCCTAATGACGGTTAAGTTTTAATTTCGTGAAAATCGGACAAAACGCCCCTTCTCTGCACGCAATGTCACTTGTTCGGAATTTACTAAGCGTTAGATTGACATAAATTTCGGAACCAAAAATATTCTAGAAATGGCACGGAATACCAACAATATTAATAATTAAACCGAAATGGGCTACTTTAACTATCAAACGTTTGAAGAAAGCTCATATTGCTAAACATGTGATGTATGTGACACGCGTGTGTGTGCTAGTAAACATGACTTACTGTGAAATATTTTACAAGGTCAATGTTGTAATTAAACCTAAAAAAATTAATAATGACACATTTGCAAAATATTGAATAATGAATTAGAGAATAGAGTGAAAACCACTCTCTGAATTAGAAAAAAAGAGTGAAAAATCACTCTCTGAATGAGCAAAACGCCTACATATGAATCTTGCAAATCTTTTTTCTGATTAGAAATAGCTAATAAAGAAATAAAATCAACACTCCAAAATAGAAAATCACCACCAGGTTTTCAATGAAAAGAGTAAATTCGCCACCACGTTTGTTAAATTATTCTAGACAAATAACATATTACTCTTTCAGGAGCTGGTTTCCTCGGAGGCCCTGCTCCTGAACGACAAACGCATGTCTTTATACACTGTAAAGTTGATGTTGATATTGTTGTATCAGCAAATAACTTTTATGATTGAAAATATTTACCATAAACAGATCAAAGTCGTCATAATGTTAATTAGATAGTTACAATTATTATTAATCATGCAGTAGTAAGTAGGTAAATATTATATTACTAATGTGTTAAACCCGTGACTGTTGATTGACGTACACCACTATACGCCAGGTTGGTATATTCAATAGTGATGGTTATTATAATTACACAACTGCTTATTAATTACTACTGCATAACTTTTAACCATTTTTAAACATTAGTGTAGAATAGTTGATCAATTGTAAGATTTAGCGACAAAAATTTCCATTACTAAAAGGTCTAGCCTTTATACGTCAAAGGTACCACCTGAAATGCTGAAATTCGAGAACTGAAAACATAACAATATGTGCAGCATACATAAGCTTTAAACGTATGATATTACCTCCACCAGAGTAAAGTTGGAACATAAATAGGGATTAACAGAAAATATGGAAACAACAAAACAAGCTCGTCAATTAAACACAATGTAACATCACGTAGTTAACAGTATTAAAACATTCACAAGAAGGTGACCAGGAAAGCTTAAGTAGTTCTGTGTAAGCATCTATGAAAGGAAGTCTTGCTAGGGTATTACAAAATAATTATGTAAAATCAATTATAATGAAATTTTAAACGCAGATAACTGCAAATAAATCAATTTGTTCTTTTCTGAATTGTGACAATATTCCGCTTAAGTTTGTTGTCATTATTATTTTGTAATACTGGTGCAGACGAGACAGTATGTGAATACGGGTGGGACGATTTACCCAATACTACCCAATACCACCCCAATACCACTACAATATAACGACATACTACCTAATACTCCAACATAATGATGTAATTATATATAATAGATTAAAATATACACAATAAAATACTTGTTTTTCTTTTTTTAGTTTCGTCGACTTGGAAACCAACTGCAACGCAAAAGAAGATGATTAATCTGAATAGCAATCTAAAATCTCTTTATCGGTTGTAAAGGGAGATAACTGCGCAAACATTTCATTTTTCTGCAAATTTTAGAATATTCGTTGTAGTAATTATACTAATATGCTGCTATTTGACAATACTAGGTTGTTAATTGATAATATTGGGTAGTATGTGGTAGTATTTGGTAGTATTGGGTTAGTTTTTGCTTGTTTTGGTTATATAGGGAGGCAAATGGAACAGCCAGAGATCGGTAATCGCATTTAAAGTACAATTCCCATGCTATAACTAATTATTTTTGAATAAATTCAATTGATATGCACATTTTACAGCATTACGTTGTAATATTGGGTAGTATGTGGTGATATTGAGGTGGTACTAGGGTGGTATTGGGTAGTATTGAGTAAATCGTCCCGCCGTGTGAATACAGCTGATTAATAGTTATCTCAAACTGACATAACATGGTTGTATTTCTACATTACGTTTGATGTAATCTTACATAAGCCGTGTATTCATATGTTAACAAACCATGTGATAATCCAAATGGGACACTGTATTTTAAGGATACTTATCACTGTATATATATATATATATATATATATATATATATATATACTTTTAACAGTTTAATAGGGGTCTTTTACGTGCACGCCAATGTGTACACGGAACCTCGGTGTTTCGTCACATCCGAACTACTAGACAGCTATCCTTGTCCAACCTGCATTACTGGCAAGGGGGAACCACTCCGGAAAATCTTGATGAACTTTCTCGGCCAAAGCAGATATCGAACACTCGACCTCCGAGCTAGCGAGCCAGCGTCTTACCCCCCCCCCTCCTCATAAGTGTACTATAGACGAAAAGTAATGAAGCCTTAAAAGGTTTATCAATGTTTAAGTTCTAAGGAAATGTACAATTACACGTTTCCTGTAAATTGTACACAAATCCCGTATTTAAACATGTCTGACTACATGAAAACATATCGCCTGGCAATCTGGATTTTTTTCACTTGCACGTGCACCGAACATGTTGCGAAATCACTTCGAAATTTGCCAATTACACGTTTCCTGTAAATTGTACACAAATCCCGTATTCAAACATGTCTTACTACACGAAAACATATCGCCTGGCAATCTGGATTGTTGTTAGGGTTGTATTATTTGGTAGATAATGTCACTTGCACGTGCACCGAACATGTTGCGAAATCACTTCGAAATTTGCCAATTTTCAGTTTATTATAATGGGTGGGACACGCTCAAATTGTTTTCAGACCACAAAAATCACCACATGACGAAGTAGGACCTTGCTAGATTTAACGAAATAAAGACCGAAATAAAATCTTTGTTCATATTTATTTCGGTGAACATAATATGATCCTGATGATGAGATATTTTAGCCCTTTTTACAGAAAGTTTGTCACTGCATACAGGACTAGATCGGACGGGCCCAATATTCTGAAAGTATTCAATATAATTGCTCCCAAGTAAACCAGTATATATATAAGATATGTGTAATTAATAATAATAACATCTGACCATATTTTAAAACATATACATGAACATTATATTCAAGATTTAAAAAAACCAAATCCTTATAAACCAAAGACTGCATTTTAGAAAATAAAACCAGATATCATTATGGGAAGCATCAATGACCTTAAAAGTTAAATATTATTTATCTCTATATTTCAAGATAACTATAGAAGGCACAGGTTTAATCAAAGTAAAACCGGATGTAAACAAAATCGAAATAAAATATTTTCGAAAATTTGAATCAAAATGGCTGCTGAATATCGATTTGAATATTTTGTGTAAAATCCAAAATGGCGGCCAAACAGTTAAACATTTTAATGTTATTGTGTTCCTTATTCCTACCAAGTTTCAGCCTGATACCTCATATGCGAAGGTAGAGAGGTAATCATGAATGTCGAAAAAATACTAACGAAAATATTTGATGCTAAAACTAATAGATAAAACTTCCGAATTTCGAAAAACCGTCAGTCCAACGAATCAAAAAATGAAAACCCGACGAAGATCAGTTGAAAAAATTAACCGTGATATGGGCAAGCTGAAATTATTTTTGGTTCCATCCGTAAAACAATTCATTTTTGTCACAGATGACCAAATTTATATGTAATACATAGTTCCACGGGGGCCAGCAATATCTACGTTGGTGGAATGTTTGCATCGTGCAGGGTTTTGGCGGCAAACTCTGACTAAATTCCATAAAAATGTTCTTACGAAAACATTACGTGTTACGACCGAAGGCCTGAAACAAGTGTAATAAAAACTCTTACGAATACAATGTGCGTTACGACCAAAAGTCTGAAACACGTAATAAAAACTCTTACGACAACAATAGGGCTATGTGTTTCGACCGAAGGTCCGAAACATGTAAAAAGTCGCTATTTGCCACATTGGACAACATATGCCTCAGATGCATATATATTTGTTATTATTATTCATATTGAAATACAATGTTAGCAAGCGCAAACACATCCAAGCAAACGAAGTAGCTCTCACTTGCAGCTGTCAAACAAAACACGTGATATTTTAAGCAATAGGCATTGTAGCGTGAATTGGGTCACAGTGTACTGTTCAGTATGAACATACGGAACGGCATTGTGTATCAACCGTAAGAAAGGATAATATCGTGTTTATAATATCCTAACAAACAGTCCCTTTGATAAGA